ACTAAAACCAAATGGGTTCTCATGTTGAGTCAAGTTCAGTTATATTTTTTCTAACATAAATCACCTAAATGCTTGCTTTGGCATCATCATGCCAATAGACATGAGATCTCCTACTACTATCATATAACATGAGCATATCACTCACAAGTTTATCCGTATATTGAAAATGTCTATTCTTGATAATGCTACGACTTAGGACATTTAATGATATCATTTATGTGTATTAGTGTTTGTCTCACATCTTTCGATTAGTCACTATTACAAATGCATATCATAAGAACTTCTAATCTAATTCTATTACTAAATTTATCAACATGTAAACAAAGGAAATAATAGAATGACTTCTTTATTATTATTAAAATAAATAATGTAATAATACATTAACAGGAGCCCATCCAAACATGGTTAGGTCTTTGACACCAACACTAACGAGTCTCTTATTCTCGATGAACGAGTAAGGGTCTTATGTTTTAGATGTAATAGAGGCTTAGTCAAGAGCTTAGTTATCTTGCCATCGGTATGGACCTTTTCTATCTTCATAAGGCCATGATTGATTATCTCTCTAATTAGGTGATAGTGTTGCAGTACATGTTTTAGACCATTGATGATACCTTGGTTCCTTAGCTCGTGCTATAGATCCTATGTAGTTGGCCATCAAGCCTTGTGACATTAGAATAAATCCTTTCTTTGATTTTTTCATATTAAATACTTTTAGTATCATATCAATGTATCCATCTTAAAAGAGCCCTCACATTTTAAGTGATCTATCTCTATAGATCTCATCTTATAGAATGCGAGTTGCTTTCACATGTCACATATTGAGAAATTCTTGAATACCTAATCATTTATAGATTACAACATGAAAATGTTATAGTCAAGAAATGGTTTGTTTGTTTCTCATATAGATTAACCATGACTAGTAGGCTCCCATTAACCTTTTACATACACAAGGTTTATCTTTGTTTTATGAAAAATCAAACTCTTTGATCATGTCATCAAAACATTGACTCTAATTCTTAGAGGCATGCTCATGTCCATAAATGGACTTTTTTATTTTACAAATCTTATTTTGCATGTTATTTAGTGATAGAACTATCAAGGTGTGACATCTATACATCCTTATTCATTTACCATTTCTAATAGTCAATGTCTAATATTGTCATTTTATAAGTATCGGCTTCGTCATCCTTTTAAGAGTACACATCACCATATGCTATGACAAGAAAAGCATATCTTTTTGTCTTTTGATGAACTTGTTTCAGTACTTAAGAGGTTCTTGTGTATTTGCTCATAAGGTAGTTACGGTATTTTGTACCCTATCTACTTAGGATTCGACTTGTAGAGTGTCAATTTGTGAGTCTACTCAAATCTCATTGAAATCAAGTTTTCTCTCATAATTTCAAGCATCCGTAAATTCCATCCTAAGGAATATAGCATGTCTAGTCATGAACAACAATTCGTTCTAGTGCTTGAAAAAATAATATCCTTTTTTTTTTAGATATCTTATAAATTTTCACTTTGTTGATTTAAGATTTAGCTTATCTTCATAAAAACGTTTGACATATGCTTTATAGTCCTAAATCTTAAGAAAAGATGAATTTATTTTTTTCCTTTTCATATCTCATATGAAGTCCGATCAATATATTTTATTGGAACCCCTATTCGAGATAAAAGTTGTAATAGGGAGTACATATCTCAAAATCAAATAAGGATATTATTTTGACTCATCATGGATTGCACCATGTCTAATATTTCACATTTATTGATAGATAATCTCATTCTCTTATAGGTGATCTAATTAAGTGTTCATCACCTTGATTTGATCAAGATGCTTTAATACTTTTGCTAGTTCGTTTCTTAATTTTATAACTAAATTATTTGAACTTCTTAATTGCTTTAGACTTGTGTCTCATATATAACCAAAAATATGATCTATAATCAATAAAGTTATGAAATAATCATGTCTTTCTCCTTAATATATGAACCTAGGCCTAAATATATCTCAATGGGCAAGGCCAAACTAATTAGTGGCTCTTTGTTTCCTTTTCCATTAAAAAAGGATTTATGTCATTTTACCAAGTAAACAAGATTTATTGACATCATCAAATGATTCTAAGTATCAATTTATAAGTAGATTACTTATTAGATTCTTTTTTATATGGTCAAGTTGACAATGCCATAAATGTATATTATTTAGATCATTTGAGTCTTTTAGTGAACATATATATCAAATTATTATCAATCAAAATATTTTCATATAAAACTTCATCATTAAAAGGAATAAACCATTGTTCTTTTTAAAAATTGAAAAACTTGTTCGAAACAAGAAATGAAAATAATATCCTTAGTTTATACTAGGAATAAAATAATAATAATCATTGATTCTTAGCACAAGCCTACATGCTAGTGCTAGCTTATAAGTGCCTATAACTAATGGTCCAACTTTTGATCCATTGTTGTCATGTAGGTCATGCTCTCTTGAAGGTATCTTATTTCTCTTCCTAATCTCTTGCACATTTAAAAAATATGAGCACCACATATAGTATCACATACCCATAAGGTGAGATTAGAATTTAGAAAAATTATCTTTAATAAAATAAATACCTAAGGTGGTTATAAAGCTCTTCTTCTTCACCTTTTTTAGGTACTCGTTGTAGTTGCACTTCCAATGCCCTTTCCTATTACTAATTTCATATAAACCTCCTCTAATAATTTAGCCATTTCATTTTATTTTAGTCTTGCCCTTAACATTCCTACCTCACTCATTGTCATTTTAAGTTGCAATCATTTCCTTCACCTTATAAATTTGCTCATCCTAGCCACATTAGTCGATCAAAAATTTATAATCTATAATTAACCAAAATTGACATACTAATGACTTAATCTTTAGTTAATATTTTCATTTACACCAAAATAACATTTTTTAATTAACTTATATACATGTCAAAAATTTACCTAATTTTCTATGCATAAAAAATCAAGCTAAGCTATGCAAGATTCCCTATACTCACTAACCTAAACCAAAGCACACAAAGTGGCATGTCCATCACTTGTCTCGGTAGTAACCCCTCATTAGTCTTTATCATTTCCTACACCATAAGAAAATAATGATGAGCAAGAACATGGTTAGTAAGTCTAATTCATGCAATGCATATGATGTCCATTGTACATAAATGCATGTAATGCATCTTTCATAAAAATCATGTTCATGCCTTTGAAACTATTTTCCTTTCCCTCTTTCCTTTTTCTTTTAGACTACACTCCTTCCTTTATCATTTCTTTAATTGGGGCCTTCACCAAGTCCCTCAACCATCAAGGCTTTTATCGAATCCCTTGATGAAAAATATATAGTTACAACTTTCTTTAGTTGGGGCCTTCACCAAATTCCTCAACTCGTCGAGGCCTTTACTCGAATCCCTAAACAAAAAAGTGGGCCAATTTTTTCAAGTGGGGCCTTCACCAAATCCACCAACTATCAAGGCCTTTACCGAATCTCTCGATGAAGAAATGGCATTTTCGGGAAAATCATGAAAACCCTTTTCCTTTTCCTTTCATGTAAACATATTTCCTTTTTTCTTTCATAAAAACCATTTCCTTTTCCTTTCATCAAAATTATGAATAAAATGCCTCTTTCATGATAATGATATGCATATGCATTTTTATATGAAATGCAATGCCATGTACATTACCTCATCATGCATACCTTTTGAAATTTCTCAAGAACATGTGTACATAAGATGTATCCAATACATGTTCCAAACATATACGTATGCATATAACAACAATATAAATCATAAAAATCAAATGTCATGGAAAGCATCATAATCACACATTTCTCATATAAACATGACCAAACATAGTAAGCATCATAACCATTAATTTTTCATACAAATGCATCCATTCCATTCCTTTTTAGTCCTCTAAACCTTATGTTTAAACATTTTTGCTTTTATCCTTATTATTCATACTTGGCCAAATTTGAGCTACGTGAATGACAAATCTAATTCCGTTATTCTAGCCTTAGGAAAGTCTCTTAGGTATTTCATCAAATATTTGGTGGGCATTAGACATGGTAGCCACCAATCTATACTTATTTAAGGATTGTTCATGCACCTTGTTGATGAAACAAAGACATCATTCAAACGCAAGCTTTCACATCATTCTAATAATTTAATATAATTTCCTTACATTACAAACACATATACATCATAAGACCAATGCAGTTCAATCATTTTCATAAAATCTTCAATACATACTAACTATACCTTTGTCAACAAACCCTAAGTCATCACTAATTATCCCTTAAAACATAAATTCCAATGGTATAGGTGAGGAATTATACTTACCTCAATAAGAATTGAGTTAATTCTTTTCCTTTCCACCTTGGCTTCTTCCCTTCTCTTTCTTCCTAAAATTTTGGCCAAATAAGAAATTCTTCCTTTAAATTCTTCCTTTCTCCTTACTATATCTTCTTAGATGGCTTGAAGGCTAATTTAAGGTATTTCTAACTCAGGTTAAACTGATTGGAAGGAGCGGATTTTGATGGGTAACATTTTCCCTCTTTCAATTTAGGGTTTCTCTCTCTTTTCTTCCCTCATTCTTTACCTCTTTCTCTCTTCCCATTTTTCTCTCTTTAAAAATCTAGATTTTCTAGTTTTTTTTCCTATTCTTCCCCATTAGTTCAACTAGAGGGTCCCTCACTTAATTGGCGTTTAACATCTTAGCCCTCCAACTTTCAATTCTTGCAATTAACCATGAAATTTTTAGTCCATAATTTTACATTTTCTAATAATTTGGCCCTCGTCATGACCAATCCTAAAGTTATTCAAGTCTCTAAGGTTTCTTAATTATTTCAATTAAGGACTTATACATTTAATCTTACTCAATCATTCAATAGACACACTTTTTTTATTAATTAAATAAATATCCATACATGAGAATTATATGTTTCGGAGGGCTTTAGGTTATGAATATTATATGGTGTGCTCGTGCACACCTAGCCTAGCATTGGCCTTTGTTTTGGTACGCTCATGCGTGCTTCGCTCGGTGTTGGCCTTTGGCCGGTGCCTAGCATTGCCTTGGCTAGTGATGGGCCGGTGTCCCATGTTGGCTTGATGATTGGAATTTGGCATGCTTGCTCGTCCGCCCTCCTCGCCTAGCTTATATGTGTGCCCGGTTTGATACTAATTGAAGGATATTCCATCATATGGAGGTGTAGAATAAAATAAAAATTTTCTTCCATCTAAGCTCCCAAGATCAAGTTGTTAAATCAACTAATCATACATACATGAATTAAAACTTAAGTAAAGGATTACCTCTTGTAACATAGATTTAGCCTTTGTAGAAAAAGAGTCATCCAATTGTTCGACCTTTATCGATAATCCATACGATCTAAGTGCCCATACAAGAAGCAATCAAAAATTATAGATTACTAGCCCTATGCTTTTCTAACTTGTTTAATTTTTCTCTTTAGAAATCTATTTCAGGATATTTTATGATAACTCTAAGAGAGAGGGAGAGAGCTGGCATGTTTTTAGGGAAGAAAAAATTATTTTCTCTTTGTTTTTCTTATAACATGTATCCTTATTTTCTTTCCTTTCTTTGTCGCACCTCTCTCTTATATTTATAGGGGAATGGCTTCTTTATCCTCTAAGGATAAGGAAGTGGCAGCAACAAGCCTAAAAAAGGACTCAAGCTTGTTGCTTCCTAGTCCTTGGAGGACAAGGAGTTCCAATGCATGTGAGCTTTGTTCATTTTATCCTTATAAAGCGTAATCCTTATCCAATAAGGGTCAATTTTATCCTCCAACAAAATATCTTATAAGCTTTTAAATTAAGGCTATTGACCCAAACTCTTTTAGCCTAATTAATTACCAATTAATTTGGACTATACAAATAAATTAGGTTAAATATTTTTAGGAAGCCCATATTAGGAAATAATTTTTTAAATTACCCTTAAATCTAAATTAGAAAACTAATTTCCTTTTTAGGTAACTTCCAACTTTGGAATTGACTTCCATATTAGAAAACTTATTTCTAAAATAGAAAACTTTTCATTTTAGAAAATTTTCCATGTTAGTAAACTTTTTTCAAAATAGGAAACTTTTCATTTTTGAAAACTTTTTCAAAATAGGAAACTTTAAAAAATTGAAACCCTTTCCAAAATCTTTGCTTCTTTTTTATTATGCAAATGCTTAAACTTATATATGTGAATCAATAGACTCCTAGATATGTTAGCAATTACCAAGAATAAAATATATCTCTTTTTTCTCTTAATACATAAATCAAGATTAGTTTCTAGTAAGGCATCATGATTATCTAATTTTTTAGAAGCATTAATTAATCTATAATTATCTTTCACGAGTATGGTTACCATACAATTCAGTCTTCATGTCAATTTATCATAATGTGATCTCAAACTTAGTTTTTAGTATGTTCAATTATGATCAAACAAGTTTTCTTCAATTCCTAAACATCTTCGCTCTTGAATAAACCAACTATGCTCTATTATTGTACTCCTATTGTAGCCACATATTTCTTAAGTAGATATTTATTGAAGTGGAATGTGATAACTCCTTTAGTATACAAAAAATGACATGTCCTATCTTAGTCATCCACCTATTTCTATTAGATTCATAGTATGCCTAACAAATTTCCCATTTGCGGCTCTTAACCGAGCATATTAAAATGAGTGTCAAAGTACATAAATCCCGTAATGAGATAACCGTAATGACTCTAAGTTAAAGGACCAGTTATATTCATCTCATAAGAGATTCCTATTGACTAAACAAATGGGCTCTCATGACGACTTAAGTACATTGATATATTCTCTAACATTAATACCTAAATGCTTACTTTGGTATCACCATGCCAATAAATATGAGATCTTCTAATACTATCTTATAGCATCAACATAGTACTCACAAGTGTTATCGCATATAGTCGGTATCCATTCTTAACAATGCTACAACTTGAGAAATTTAATGATATTATTTAAATACATTAATGTGTATCTCACATATTTCGATCAATCATTAATGCAATGTATATCACATGAAATTTTATCTAATTCTATCAATAAATATAAATAATAAGAATTAATAGAAAGATTTTTTAGTTCATAAAATAAAGAACGCAATATTACAATAAGTCAAACCATGCAAACAAGGTTGGATCTTAGGTCCTCCTCTTTCACTTTCTATGGCTGGTGTCTTTCATAATAGTCGGAGGAGGGAGATCGATCATCAAATGATGGCTACCACTTTTTTCTTCCTCTCCAAGTGTGATTTCTACCATAGCAAGGGATGAATAGGACACTAATCATCATAAAAGATCATATGGAGTGTTTCTTTAATTATTTGAAGGTTTGAATTGACCTCAATCGGATGGTAAAAACTAGTAGTGAAAACTAGCCATTATTTGGATTTTTATTCATTTTTACCGATTTCGGTGAAGTTTTATAAGGATTTTTAGGAGAAACAACTTCTAAGAGGATGAGAGATGCTTCTTTAGTGGTGGCAACAGTTGGTTTGGCTAAAAATAGTGGTTTGTCTAGATTAGGTTTGTAGATCAAGGGGAGCGAATTTCATTTCAAATCCTAGCCTCCTCCATCGGTTTTAACTGTGAAAACTAATTAGGGAAGGTGGATGCGAGGTTGGGCAACCATTTAGGAGTGGTTGTTGTGGGTAATACTTTTCGAATGATGATGTTTTTGGGAGAGAAAATGTGTAGGATTTCGAGTCAACTCGTAAGTAAATCCAAATTTAAGAGAGGATTCTTTTTTTAAAAAAAATTTAATTTTTAGGTTCCCTTTTTTATGGCATACCCCCTATTCTAATTTTTTTTCGTGGTATTTATACCATCAACTTAATTATTCCTAATCCCTTTTATGAAAGGCTTAGCGACCAAGTTGGATTAGGCTATCCTAAAATGAGATTAGGCATAATTAAATTGATATAAGTAGTCCAAAATTAAATTCATATTCCTCACATTTTTTTCTTCTTTTTTTGTTTTTTTCTTTTCACTCATTTTTCTTCTCTTTTTTCTTTTGTTTATTTAATTAAAATTATGAGATAATCCTAAGAAATTAAATCCTACAAATATCTAAAAATCAAGAAACAATGCAACATGCAATTTTTTCTTTTGAATTTTGTATAAAAATAAAAATGATTAGGGGTCAAAATAAATTACAACGAGTTGTCTCTTCTTTACAATGCTTACGATACAAAGTCATAGAAAAAACTAAGAAAAAAAAACAAGAGCTTTTGATTGGCTTTATTTAGTAGGTCGGTAAAGATAAAGGGTTCTTGGATGATAAAATCGGTTTGGTTGTTTTAGGTGACCTTCTGCTACTTTTATTAATGATCCGATTGTTTTGAATGACCTAGTCCTACTTCTAATTGGTGGTTTAGTTATTCTAGGTGACCCGCCTCCTACTTCTATTAATGGTCTAGTTGTTTGAGGTGACTCATCCCTACTTCTACTAATGGTTTGGTTGCTTTCGGTGACCGACCCTTGCTTCTATTAGTGGTCCGGTTTTCTCGGATGACTCACCCTTACTTTTCCTAATGGTTTAGTTATTTTGGATTAAGCTGCCCCTACTAAATTTATCGCTAGACAACCTTTCCTAAAGTGAAAAACTAAATTAAATAACCTTATCTAAAATAAAAGTTGAACATTCGATAACCTTGTCTAAAATAATGGACTAAGTTAGATAACCTCGCTCGAAAATTAGAAATGATTGCTAGGCAACCCTACCTAAAAAATGAGAAATGATTATTAGGTAAACTTGCTTAAAATGATAAATTAAATTAGATAATATTTTCTAAAAAAATGAGAAATGATCATTATGTAACACTCGCCTAAAACGATAAATTAAATTAAACAATCCTTCCCGAAAATGAGAAATGATTGCTAGGTAACCCTACCTAAAATAATGAATTAAATTAGCCAACCCTATCTAAAAAATGAGAAATGATTGCTAGGTAATGCTACCTAAAGTGATGAACTAAATTAGGCAACCCTACTCGAAAATAAAAAGTGATCGCTCGGCAATCCCGCCTAAAACCATGAACTAAATTAGGCAATATTGCTAGGTAACCTTTCCTCAAAATAATAAGAAAAAAATTAGGAAATCTTGCCTAAAAATGAGAAATTGATTGCTGGGTAGCCCTACCTAAAATGATAAACTAAATTAGACGACTCTTCTTGAAAATAAGAAATGATCACTAAGCAATTTTTCCTAACATAATAAACTAAGTTAGACAACCTTAACTAAAATGATAAAATAAATGAGAAATGATTGCTAGGAAAACCTACCTAAAAAGATGAACTAAATTAGGTAACCCTATCTAAAACAATGAATTTAATTAGGCAATCCCACCTAAAATGAAATTCACGGAACAAAGCCCCTCATGGTCTTGTGACTTTCAAATTTTATGTTTAGGATGGCTTTCTCATCCTTAAATTTAAGATAACATTACTAAAATATATCAATGAGATTGATTGTAATGGTAAATTTCCTATGAGAAATATAGATTGCCCTACTTTATAGGTACTCAAACCCCCTTCACAATAGTCTTCTCTTTTGTTGTTTGACTTTTTCATAATCTTATTACCCTATAATCTTGGTAGTAGTTCGGTCTAGAGCCATCCATGATTCCATTTTGGTGAATCAAAAAGGTTCGGGAGAAAGTATTTTGGAAAATTAGGTTCTAAAGGACAATTTTTCTTAAGAATATGCTGATTTTATTTATGTCTTGCTCCCATTCTAGTTGATGAAAACTTATGATTTGATATCATAAAGAATGACCAATAGCATACCAATCAATCATATTTTTCTTTTGTTTTTCTTTTTCATCCTTAATTTTTTTTCAACGATTTTTCTTCTTTTTTTGAGGTTAAAATTCATTAGCATAAATAAATTATATTTGATCAAAAAAGGCTTATAGGAGCATGGAATGTAGGTTGGCTTAGGCTTATAAAAAAAGGATATATAAAGGCTTAAAAAATGTTTAAGGTTCCTAAGACATAAGATCACTTTATTATCTATTGAGATCTCTTTAGGTAGTGCTATCTCGACTTTATCAATCTAGTTATTAATCTAGGATTTTACATCATCTTGATGTTCCTAAAAAATTTTCTAGACTTATATTGACTTT